AAATCGATGCTTTTTAATAAACTTTCATCCCTGGTTCCCCCCTTAAAATGTGAAAATCCCAAAATCCTGCAACACGTCATTATTAATTTATACTCAGTAGCTGAAATTTTAATTTTCATGTTTTTATCTTTAAAGAAAACCAAAAACATGGATACTTTTAAATAAATTTTCACCCCCCATTTCCCTCCCTTAAAATGTGAAAATTAAAAAATCCTGAAACACGTCATTAATAATAATTTGTAGTCAGTAGCTGCAATTCCAATTTTCATGTTTCCTAACTTCAACTAGAACAAAAAAAATCGACAGTCCCATACAAACTTACAGTCAGTCAGGATAAACAATTTTATATACATAGATTATTGTTGTCATCTGTTTCATTTGTTTCGCTAGTATCTCTTACCATGTGGCTGTAAACGATTGTTTAAATTTTTTAAATTAGTTTTGAAAAATATTTATCATGAAAAATATTCGCGTCAATTAAAAGCGTACACATATCTCTGTCAGGTACTTTTAATTTTTTTTACATTTGTTCCAGTGCCATATATTAAAAAAAAATCATACTTATTTATTGCCACCTGGTATCTTAAAACATCGGCCTCTGTAATTGCCATTTCATTTTTTTTAACTGTCCAATTTGCAGTCAATGTTATAGATAACGCACAGCCTTACCTTAAATACGTAACCTGTTTAATGCGACTTTAGAGTATAATCATTAATTTTCATCTAAAACGTAAAAGAAAACAACGAAATCTCTCCAAAGCAATTCCAACCGAGCAAATTCCTAAATCTCGATTTATTTCTTTGTAAAACTAGAAAGCGATTAAACGATTGTAAAGAGGAGGCAAAAAGGGGGAAAAGATGTTTCCTTTGTGTACAAACGCTGATTCGTTTCATGCTTTTTTGAGTGTGAAGATAGCCCTGAAACGCCATTAATTCAAAACACTGAATCTGAGAATTTGCCAATTTGTCGTACCTAATACGGTTTTAATACGTTTTTGTTTCATATTTTATTGTTTTGTTTTATAAAGGTATATATAATGTCTTAGTAAAATAATAATAATAATTATTCTGTTCTTTCCAGGCTCTCTATAATGTAATTTAGTTGTGTAGTTTCATAATGGCCTTAGATAAAAGAGACCAGAGATATAACATACACCGGTTTTAAACCTGCCCAAATGTTGCCAATTTCTATAGAAGGGTTAACGGAGTGGGGGAACTGGGCGGCGACACGCGGCGACCCGAATTCTGTGACAGGGACCGGACTTTGTTTATTAGCATCTTAATGAACTATTAGGTTTATTTAAAAGGTGTTTAATCGAATTTTGTATTATGAAATAAAATTAACGTGATTTTTTAATATCAAACAGATGCCACGACATTTTATGTAAAGAGAAGACCTTTTATAGAATATTTCGTTAGCGTTTATTTACTACGGACTTTTCTGCAAGAGATTACAGTAAAATGTTGAAATAGAATATATTGTTAATAGAGCAAAAAATGTTACTCATTGTCTACGAGTATTATAAAAATAGCATGTGCGCAGGCTAATACTGCAAATCTACCCTTATGAGTTGAACATTATATTTTTTCTACGGCTATTACATATTATTAAAAATTAGTCAAAATTAGAAAATGCTGTTTTGTATTGTAACCTCAGAAAAAAGTATATTAAGGCTTCTTTCTTTAGGAATATTAATTATTATAAAGGATGAGTCACATAAAACTCTAGAAATGCATATGTCTGAAACCAGATAACATTTTAAAATTTAAATCTATTAAAAGTCATTTGGTCGCTAGGAATGAGTGATTATCGAATTAAATTATCGATCATTGAAAATAATCGATTATTTTCGATCAATCGATTATTTTCAAACAATATATTTTTTGTCATTTCCTTTAAAATCGACTACTTGATTATCTTTGAAAAATCAAAAATAATCGATTAATTAAAAAGCCAATTAACCGGTAAATCAGTGTTTACAAAATATAATATAAATAGAATTATCGATTATTCTCAAATAAACCATTTTTTTTCGTCCATGGAAACAGATTATTCGATAATCTTTGAAAAATCGAAAATAATCGATTAATCAAAAATAATTGATTAATTAAAAAGTCGATTAACTGATAAATCAATTTAAAAAAAACAGAATGATCGATTATTTTAAATAATTGATTATTTTCGATCAATCGATTATTATCAATAATCTATTTTTATTGTATTTCCTTTAAAATCGTTAATTCGATTATCTTTGAAATACCGAAAATAATCGATAATTCCAAAATAATCGCCTAATCGAAAATAATCAATTAATTAAGAAGCCGATTCTATGATAAATCGATAATTACCAATAATCTATTTCATTGTATTTCAAAAATAATCGATTAATTAAAAAGTCGATTAACTGACAAATCAATTTTCAAAAAAAAAACAGAATGATCGATTATTTTAAATAATCGATTATTTTCGATCAATCGATTATTATCAATAATCTATTTTTATTGTATTTTCTTTAAAATCGATAATTCGATTATCTTTGAAATACCAAAAATAATCAATAATTTCAAAATAATCGCCTAATCGAAAATAACCAATTAATTAAGAAGCCGATTCTATGATAAATCGATTTTCCAAAAAATAAAACGAATTATCTATTATTTTCTAATAATCCTTTTTTCATATTTCCTTTGAAATTGATTATTCAGTTATCGAATATAATTGATTATTAAAAAGCTGATTAACCAATAAATCGATAATTTTAAAAAAATAACAAAAATATCGATTATGTAAAATAATCGGTTATTTTCATATAATAAAATCGAAAATAATCAAATAATTAAAAAACCGATTAAACGATAAATCGATTATTTTGAATAAATCTACTTTTTTTTGTATTTCCTTTAAAATCGATTAATACATTATCTTAAAAAAAAAAACGAAAATAATTTATTAAAAACAGCGGATAAATCGATTTTCATTAAAAAATATCAGAATTATCGATAAATCGATTATTTTTGTAACTCCTATCGGTCGCTTGCTTTTATCTGAGCAATTAGCTCCAAAATTTAGAGATTCGGATTTTTTGATCCAGTTATCTTTGAAATCGCATTCGATTGTATAATAAATAAATATTGCTAAATTTTGGATTTTTTTTAGTAAACGAAAATTATGTTCGAGTTGTTTAGTGGTTTGTAATGTAACATTTTATTTACGTGACTAAGGGTCGATTCCACCGTTGTGTTAAACGAAGTTTAAAATGACATTTTTACATTAACACTGTCATTTTAATCTCCGTTTAACACAACGGTGGAATTGGACCTAACTCCTGTAACTTAAGTATTTTTTTTGGGCTTATACTAGATTACTTTGTTTTAAGACTGAAAATTTAATGTCACTTTCGATTTGACCGCAAATAAGATGAACCTTGAAATTTTAAGTAGGTCATCCTGTATTTCATCTAATATTCTTATAAAAATACCTTATAAAAAATACCATATAAAAATACCTTATAAAAATACCTTATAAAAATAAAATTTTGCTAGCAACTATGATTCTTCACCTCTTATTTATTTACCAAAAAGGGCTAAAAACTACCTTTAGAAAACATTCTTATAAAACTACTTTTTAAATACAAAATTTCGTTAGCAATAATGCCTATTTACTATTTATTTAAATTAAATGTTCAAAATTTTACCCTTTTTTAAATTTATGTAAGTAATATGAAAACTGATTTATGATGCTTAATATTTATTGAAACCCCTTAATGCGGATCTGAAGTATTTAGCCCAGAGAGTCATGGCGCTTTATGTCAAAACGTTAATAAATATTTACCGCTGAAAACGAATATATTCATAACAGTAGTACTTGTATTATAAGTACATACAATTTTTCAAGATACATTGTGACATTTTGAACTTGAAAATGAATAACTAGAACACTTTAAATTGCTAAAATACCAACAAATAAATAAAAAAAACAGCTCTCAATGGTGATTAAACTCAGGTGGAGGTGATCGCTGAATGGAAATCGGAGCAATTCGGGTGGCGTCGTGCAACAATGATTTTCAATTGGTGGGTTACTTTGGCTTAAAATAGACAACATGCGCAGTGTGCAATGTTACATCTTCGGTCTCTTCAATCTAAGATAATGGCGCATTATAATAATACTAATTATTGCACTGAAGAGGAATTGGAGGACAAAATAAAAAATAAAATAAAACTCCAATAAATGTAGGTAACTATAAAAGAGATTTATAATAATAAAATAAAACATCATTTTTTAAATGAACAAACAAAATAAAAAAATAAAATATACTTCAATAAAGAGATTTTTAAAACACAACTAATAGTTATTTACCGTATGGTATCGTTCAAAACAATTTATTATACATTAATTATACATTCGCTACACATGTAGCGCGTGTCTTTCCTATGTCCATTTTTAGTACATACAACACACTGCTTTTCGGCTTCCTTCTTTTTCTTCGTCGGTGGAACTTAAGAGGAGAAATGTCGAGCTGTCAAACGTAAAGGATTGTCTTCTTATAAACCTCTTCTTCCTGTTTTATAGACGTCTATAGATATATGATATTTTTCCAAAATTGAATCTACAACCTTCAGTTGATAAGCTTTCAAACTTATTTTCGTAGCCGTTGCAGTAAGAAATGAAACATGGACGTTTAAAAGTGAAATATCCAATAAGTGATAGACTATATTTTTGAAGAAATCGAACTATGGTCATAATTTGGTGAAACATAGGTATAGCAACTTCACTGTTTTTTGTCCAATAGGCGTTAATGGAGTGTTACTTTATTTGTGCCATTAGTATGTTTATTGCAAAAAAGCAGCAGACTTCTTTATAATCTGTATTACGAAATCGATGCAACCTAGACTTTGGAGGAATACCTTGAGTGGTTAAAACACAAAGTATTTGTTACTTTACTCGGCGATATACTGAACAACGTCTTTACCAAAAAATTTTTGAAAATAATCTAATTCAGAGCTATTTGCATTTAGGCCACCTTCCAGAGAACAACTCGATTTGCTGGAATGAAATTGGTGCATATCCAGCCTTAGATCCATTTCACGCCTCTATGCCTCTATGCCTTTTTCCAAAATTGAGTGGAATTTCTTTAACGGAATCATTACTATCCGAATGGTCGGAATTAATTGACGATACAGGAGGCACGTACGAAGGTTCTGGTGTGGCCATTTTATCTTCGGCAAATTCATCTTACTCACTAAGTACAACTGCAACCGATTTATTGTCACTATTTGCTAAAAGGTCAATACCCACGCCGAGAGAGTAAGTGCTTAAATATTAAAATTTTGAAATAGTGCTTAATTAATAAAATTATGTAATATATTGGTAACACATAAGTTATTCTGTGCACAAAAATAAAAATAATGTTGAGAATACCTTGAGAACATTCGTTTAATAGTGAATGTTTAATTTAATAAATCGGTAAGCACAGTGCACATATGAAACTTTCATTATAATATAAAAACCTGATAGTACGGTATTTCCATTGACAGCATCACCGTCTTCCTATCTAGATAAAAAACTATCCCTGTAAAACTAGCTATTAGTAAGCCAGGTAGCTAGTAAACCAACGTACTGTGTTTTCACTGTTCTAGTTGAAACCGTTGTTCTCCGGAGTTTAAACCCTCTGGTAAAATCCTTTCTCGTAAAGGGTTAAACTAGTAGCCTTCCTTGGGTGAAAAACCAGACAGCCAACTCAAAAAAACGAGAGTTTACCAAAAACACTAATTCCCCCAAAATATAATTAACCCGTTCTTCCACAATTAAACCTGGAGTAAGATCTAGAATCCCCTTTAATAGGATTACTCGATGGTTATACAAAATAAATATTTTACTCTTCAGACAGAAATTTTGAAGTTCTTTGCCTTTCTTCACATGTCAGATATACCTAACCAACAAACTGACATGATGTCTTCCCTTCCGCTTTGAAAATTGACAAGCCGAGTGGGTTCAGTAAATCATGTTTAGGAATTTACCAGTTCATATTTTAGAGACTATTTACGAAAAATTACCCTACAAACTATATCTTTATACACAATATTGCTAGTGACAAATATCGATACCACATCGGTCGCGAAAAATCTTCTAAGCACGCACAACCCTACAGTTAAACGAACGCACCACGTACAATGAATGCGACGTAAAATCGTCCACTGTCAAGCTACCATTACCTGGAAATCGGAACCAGAAATGGAACGACATGACTCTGTCAATTATCGTGTCCAAACGTTGACTGACATTTACTGTCCACTCCCACTCGAACTGAAAGTCGTACTGTCAAAATTTAAATAATGACATTCTATTAAAATAATTAATTTGAACAAGAAGTAAATAAATTCGATGAAATTGGTATCTAAACAAATTTATTACCTAAATGTAAGGTTATAATACATAACATATATATTAAATCGCAACGAGACTGTCTATTTTTAGGAAAATTGAACAAATTAAAGCACATAGGATCTGTGTACGAGGAATAAAATCTACAAAATGTTTAACTAAGACAATATGAACAAACTACGATACCCCTATCCAGTGATAAGATTAATGTAATTATAATAATGATATCTAAAGGTTAACAATACATACGAAGAAAATAATGGCTTTAAAAGCTCATCAACAATAAATTACGGTTTATCTTTTTTCCGTATATTTAAACAAGTTTTGTTGAATGTTTCCTTAGTTAAATTGATCGGCTAAAAGTGCACGTTACAAGGTCGAACTTTTTTCTGCATTTGGGTTATTTCTTAATATTTGTTTTATTTTTCAATGGACATACAAGAAAACTAAGGACGACAAGACCAGGGTATCTATTCTTGAATCTCAGGGAGTAGAAATTTTGAGAGAAGAATGAAAAAAAAATACAAATTTAGTGCGTTGCGAATAAAGAAAAAAAGCGGTTTTCTGTTCCCTCGAATTTAAGAGTAGCTACCCTGGTGTCAAGTCAGAAATGTTTACTAGAAAAAAAGACGTTCAAGGACAAAATCTTTTGGAACACCACTTACAACATCCAAAACAGACGATAATGATTCACCAACACGTACACAGAAAGTTTTATTACACATGTAGGTTTTTATGCAACACGAAAGCTGGCTTTTACACCAACATGTTTTAATTTTAGTTAGTCTGGTTAAAGGTAATTTATTAAAACCACGAACAAAATCGAAGTACAGGGTGTTTCCAAAGTAATCTGAAATATTGTTGCGTGCGATTTATCGTTCAATTTTAAGACGAAAAGCTCCTGCGGTAGGTTTTGTCGTTTATGAGATACAGGGTGTTGATTTTTTTTTAATTTACGTCCTCTGACTGAAAGTAAAAATTACCATAAATTTTCCTTAGTGACGCTACTTATTTCCTTAACTACTAAGAAAGAAATGTATTATTTGCAACAATCCTGGCCTCTTTGAACGTATTCGGCAATCCATTAGACGTCGAGCGAATGCTTTTAATTTAGCTGGAGGTGCACATTTTAAACATCTGTTAAGAAATTTATTACTACTTTTATGTTTAGTTTATCACAATTTATTGCTTTCAATAAAATAATAAAAAAGTCAATACCCCGTATGTCATAAACGAAAAACCTATCACATATGTTTATACGAAATTTTTGTCTTTAAATTTAACGACAAATCGCCCACATTATTTTAGATTATTTTTGAAACACCCTGTATATCAACTGATTGTGCTTGATTGATTTTTCTTGTCCATGAAATGAGAAAAGTCGACATATTAGTGAAAACATATCTGTCTGGAAGAAAACCATGTTGACTATTAAGAATCACGTTGCGTTCCAGGAGAAAAGAGCGAATCACAATCGGTATAATGAGATCCATTACTTTTAATGGAACCGAAAGTAAAGAAATTGGTATGTACTTTTGTGTATCATACGTATTCCTTTTTTTAATGGACGTAATAGATTTTTTCCAATCGGTCAGCATAAAATTTGAATAAAACGATTGGAAAAATATGTATTTTTGATGCGACATTAATTCATTATATTTTTATTAATTTGTTGTGTTATTTTGTTTAAGGTAGAGGCTAGCAAAAGTCTTAAATTTAATAATAGCCTCAACAATCTATTTAATGGAATTTACACATGAATTTGGGTTTCTTGGTAGGTTGTATACAGATATATTTCGTCATTGGTTTAGGAACATCTCCTATGTGTAAAATTACCTAATTTTCAGTAGACACCGAAATATCTTAGAGCTTCTTATAAAAGTACACACATACAAGCTATTATTTTAATGTACTTTAACAGCTTTTTACATACACGAAATATTTTAAATTTATAGGGAGCAATTATATAACGCTTATAGTAATCAACATATTAATATTTACAAATATTGCACATAGGAGGTATTGGTAAACTACCGATGATTTAAATTACTTGTATCCTCTTCGGTGAATTTTAAAGAAAAAATAGTTTTGAGTAGTTTAGCAATCTTTCTGGGTTTCTTACAGAAGTCTCCCTAAGGAGATTTCAGGAAGGGAATATCAACTTTATAGTAAGTTTGGGAACGTACATATTGATATGAAAATCAGTTTTGCAATAAAGAAAAATGTAACTTACCCTGTAAACCCGATTAACAAAACTTAATCTCAGGGTTCGTAGGTTCAATAAATATAATAATTTAGATGAAATAAGCAAGTTTAGCTACAAATTTAAAACACGTACTGGATGTTGGATATGTATACTCAAAGTTTGATGGGTTTACAGATTAGATAATAAAAATATTAATTTATATAATTTTCTTTGTCTATGAATGTCTTTGCTTCTACACTTTGTCGTCTTTCTTCTGCAACTTCGTTTAATTTATTTTTTTTTGTTATCTACTCAAACTGGCCTTAACCTTATTTTGGATTTTCTGGCACACCTCGTTTACTCTACACCAAACCAGTCTGCCTCAAATATTCTGAACTGCTGTTCTCTTCTTTGTTATATCCTTAATTCTACTTCAATGTTATGAAATAAAAATTGCGTTTTTAATTTTTATCTACTCCTATTTATATATTTATTATTCAACTGCTTTTAAGCATTCAATAGTATCAATAAACAAATAGCGTGAGTTTTATTAGTGAATTATTATAACTCACGCTGGGCTCCTACGATAATTCGGTATGTTATTAGTGTGCGCAGTATTCGCTGTGTGCAAGACTGGTAGCGCTCTCTGGTGACGGGATAGCGACAGTTCTCCTCATTCATTCCCGCATACTTGCTATACACCTCACACTCAACAGTTGAACTTGAAATTTCTTTTTCAACAATTAAGTGTTGCAACAAGTTTTGTGTTCGCTGTTAGCTGATAGACTAACAAAAATTGTTTCTGTCGCACAAAAAGTAAGTAAATGACATAAAAATATTTGGAGGTTATGCATACGAACTATTTGCGTTTTGAATGTCATAAATCAATGTAATTTGTCTGTATTTTTAGATGCTACATTTTTGTCATGAGTGTCATCTTCTACACTGGATTTGAGAAAATATCTCATGACATAAACTTTCAGCCTGAAACGCTAAGAAAAGGTAAAGATTTGGTAGAAGCTGGGCATGTCATAAATGTCGAAGAGCACAGAGAGTCAGGTGTTGGCCTTTTTATCCGAGCTGGTGTCATTAGACAAACGTCTGTCACGAAAAAAGAATATTTTGTAGAATTGCATGTAAGATAAAAATTGTGTTGAAATCCATTTATTATTGACAATAATAAAAATAATCGCTACTACGATGATGTGGACAATCGCTGACTCCTGCCACCATAGGCGCTGCGATAGCTCAATCTATCCCCTCCAAGCCAAATGCACACAGCGAATAAATTTTTAATTTTAAAGCCAATAAATACGTTTTATTGGCGTAACATGTTAGAATGATTTTTTAACAATTGGAAAGGAATGAATATTTAAAAGATTTTAAAATTTATAAATTGACAACGCCTCTCAGTAGGCGGAAAAGTCAATTATCATTAAGAAAAGTAATGTTATTTGATATTTTAACAACATAATTTTGAGGTTTT